TTCTGTGATTCAGTACATGCACCGAAAGCCATGCATTAATAACAGTAGAGGAAACTGTCTTTGACTTTAGCTGGGTGTTATTGATTGAAAAGTTTAGTATTGATATATTGACTCAAATGTATCCTGATAAATTGATATATCGATTAATATATAAATTTGGTATTCTGCATGTTTATGGATAAACATTTGCTGTCGAAAGGAAGAGACGTCAACTTTTTTATTATGAGGAACACATTTAGATGTATATGCTTACTCCTTCATCAGGTGAATAAGTGCTATGAAACAGAGAACATATATATGTATAAGAAAATCGAAAGGAAACAGATACCATACTTTGAAAAGGCACTAATTAATTGTTTAGTTTTGGCTTCAGTTTGTCCATTGCTAATCACCTATCAGCACCGATTCACTGTTGGCTTCCCTTGTTTAGTTTCAACACAATGATGAAGCCAATTTAACAGGAAGCCAATTAACCTGGATTAAATTACTTAGGTGGGATGATTGGGAAACCTATTGCTTGATGCTTCATCATGTTCATAGTTGGTGGATGTGAGGATTGTTTGTTTGTTTGTTGTTTAACACAGCACTCAGCAATATTCCAGCTACATGATGACGTTCTGTAAATAATTGAGTCTGGACCAGGCAATCCAGTGATTGATATCATGAACATCGATCTACGCAATTGGGATACGGTGACATGCATCAACCAAGTCAGCGAGCCTGACCACCAGATCCTGTAAGTCGTCACTTACGACAAGCATGGGTTGCTGAGGACCTATTCTACCCCGGAACTTCACGGGTCGCGGATCAGATGAAGTGGCCTTGATCGCTATTACAGTATAAAGAAGGTTTTTTTCATGAACTTTTGCCTACTGTCATCCACAAACTTCTAAGAATTGCGTATTAAAAATTAATTTAGTTTGATTCAAGTTGTCCACACAGCATACTATGTGTCAGATAGGCTACAGCTTAGGATTTATTTATTCAGTAGTGTAAACAAAGCTTTGATTCTCTCCCTTTGTCCTGTTATCAGTGATATAAAGCCATGACTTTTGTCAAAACAATATTAACTTGAATTTGGGATTTTAACATCTTCCCAAAGCAAGGGCATTAAAGGGACACTAATCTCTGGCTTCTTCTCGGCTGTCTGACACTGGCCGCTGGGGCTCACAAGGTGCTCGAGTCGATTTGCTGGCTAACGTAACTGAGCGTGACAAGAGACCGGGCTACCGTCTGTAAAGACAGCGTAAATAAACTTGGAGGCAATGTTTGTTTTGCGCATTTTTGAACACTGATTTGTTAACCGTGATCTATAAAGATTTCGACAAAGGGCGCATGTTGATTAATTTCTTCAGCCTAAAGCAACAGACAAAAAGAACGGCGGAGCTCATCGGATGTCGTCATTTGGAAATACCCCTGATGGTTATAGTTTAATAATAAAAAGAAGTATACATGCAGTGAAAGCATTTTTGGATTTCGGATTGCGTTGATAGTACGATTACTACTCCCTTGTTGTCATCCACGTTTTATGGTATAACCCTAACACTTGTGTATCTGTCGTCATTCAGCTGAGTCCCAAACTAACTAAATCGCTTGACACCTGCACATTTATTTGACACCTGCACATTTATACCAGTAGCTCCCCAGCAATAGTTACACAACAAACGTTGAAACAGAAGTGGTCTTTGACATGACACTAACTTTTATAGATTTTTTAAAGTGAGTGAGTGAGTGAGTGAAAGTTCAATGTTGCCTCAGTCATATAGCAATTGAAAATTTAAGAACCCTTAATTAGAATTAAATTGAAGAAAAAAGAATGGAAATAATAAACCCTAGGCCCATCCATTTTTTTTTCTAATTCCCCCCCAAAAATGTGAATTAATCCCATGTTAATCCTGTCTCAGACAAATGCCATGTGAATGCTGTGTGTTCTTCTTCACCATGTTGAAATGCACGTACCATGTTTTAGGTACACTGATAACACTCCTGTCGATATAGGCATATTTACTGACCTCAGCGTCTTCAGTGATTCATGTAGATAGGGCCCCACCCAACACACTTTGCTATAGCTGTTATGCATATCGTGTACAAGTGTCTTTATCTTACCTTACATTAAAATGTTAACTTTTGATTGGTTAAGGAGTGGGGAATTATTATCTCCCCGGTTTGAAAAATGTGGGGATATAGCAATCACCATGTCTGTCTGTCTGTCGATCCGGGGTATAATTGGTCTTCAGCAACCCATGCTTGCCGTAAAAGGCGACTATGCTTGTCGTAAGAGGCGACTAACGGGATCGGATGGTCAGGTTCACTGACTTGGTTGATGCATGTCAATCACTGGATTGTCTGGTCCAGACTCGATTATTTACAGACCGCCGTCATATAGCTGGAATATTGCTGAGTGCGGCGTTAAACAACAAACAACCAACTGTCTGTCTGTCAGCTGTTCGATTTCCGTTTCTGTCTCCAAAACTGTTGAATACTTCTTTTTGAAACTTGCAGTATAGATCAGTCTAGTGGGGAACTGGGTGCCTTTTGATGATTTGAGATTTTCCTTTTAAATAATTATATGTTTTAATGACGACAAGTTGGACTTTACTGAAAAAGAGGGTAGTGCTTGTTTCCGGAGCAGATCTCCTAAACCGTTGAATATTTCTAGATGAGACTTGCTATACAGATGAGTCTAGTGGTGAACTGGTGCATTTTGATGATTTGGGATTTTGAAAAATACTGAACAGCATTATTTTTTCTTCACTGAACTGAAGGTATCCAATGGCAATGAACCGAAAGTGGGGTATAAGTAGCCAAACTCTGTTTCTGAATTGCACCAGACCGGGAGGATATGTCATCTCCTGATGATTCTCGTTTTCAATGTACTCCGCTGAAAAATCAATCATAACACATCTAACTTGCTTATCTCGCATGAGTATCCTTGAGTCTGAAATAAACCGATGTTGATCTGAATGCATTTGAGAAAAGGGAAGTAACTCAATATATTGCTAAAAGCGGCGTAAAACCATACACACACACTCACTCACTCTACTCCACTGGGACATAGGTTAGGCTAGTTCTTCAGGACCCTATGATGACATTTTGTTAACATTTCCATTTACAGATCTACCAACTTGATTGAAAAGACACCATCATGAAATAAAGTCGGAGTTATTTATGTATGTTTCAATTGTCCATCTGCTGAACATGTGACATGCAGAAAAGTAGAAAGACACAAGAAAGTGCAACCAAAATGCTCCTGTTACCATGGTTACTTGCTTAAAAGGATGACTGATGAAATGCAAAGTATAGTCTAAGATACCACAAGGACCTAATAAAGAGAACAAAAGTGGTATCTTTATAATGGTTTTTGTAAAGAGAATTATCCCCATCATTCAATTGAGCGGTCTTACCGCAGTTCAGCGTTCTCACTAAGATCGGGGGGCACGGGTGGCCAAGTTGTCTAAGGCGCCGTGGTACGCTGTGCAGAGTTGCGTCCCTTGGGCACGCCAGAAACCTGTGATTGTGGGTTCGAATCCCGGTTCGCCCCGATTATGTTTCTAGGTTTGTCAGCACCATACCCATGCTCGTGGGTTTCACCGAAGTGGTAAATGTCTGAGACCTGCATCACTTCTGGCTTTCCTCCCACATTAAACTGACACGCCGCGATATAACTGGAATACTGTTAAAAGCGGCGTTAAAACTCAACTCACTCACTCACTCTCACTAAGATCACTTTATGGAGTGGTGCCCAGCACAATGTAGCAGGTGTTTGTTCTCTGCTATGTTGATAATGCTTGACCAATTCATGGAAGAAAATAGAAAAAATAACCAAAAAATGTTGTCAGGGATAACTTTAAGTAAATTTCCCAAAATATTCACGAAGTTAATATGTTCAAAAAAAGATGGTGATGGTTTCTTCTTGTTTGAGCAATGTCTCAAATAAACGTTCGAACAGTGGAGGAGTTTTCTTGTTTGATAAATGTCCCAGCCGACATCTTTCATACTGGTGGTGTAGCGGCCATAAAATTTCCGAGGCCTGTGATGGGATTCAAACCACAGACCTTCTGATCCAAGGTTTGATGCCTTGTCCACATGACCACATGACCACAGAGGTTAACCCTGTCAGCAAGCTGACATGGTTAGGATGTCGTCAGGGGGATGACTCCATGCCCTGCTGCAGTGGAGTCTCCCATCTGGGTCGATGTCCCAGCTAACATTCCTAACACCTGTAGTGTTCTTGTTGCAGCAATGTGTCCAAGTACAACTACATCTTCTCTGACTTCCCCCTCCCCGACGACGTCCCAGCTAACATTCCTAACACCTGAAGTGTTCTTGTCGCAGCAATGTGTCCAAGTACAACTACAGCTTCTCTGATCTCCCCCTCCCCAACGACGTCCCAGCTAACAATTCTAACACCTGTAGTGTTCTTGTTGCAGCAATGTGTCCAAGTACAACTACAGCTTCTCTGACCTCCCCTTCCCCGACGACGTCCCAGCTAACATTCCTAACACCTGTAGTGTTCTTGTTGCAGCAATGTGTCCAAGTACAACTACAGCTTCTCTGACCTCCCCTTCCCCGACGACGTCCCAGCTAACATTCCTAACACTTGTAGTGTTCTTGTTGCAGCAATGTGTCCAAGTACAACTACAGCTTCTCTGACCTCCCCTTCCCCGACGACATCCCAGCTAACATTCCTAACACTTGTAGTGTTCTTGTTGCAGCAATGTGTCCAAGTACAACTACAGCTTCTCTGACCTCCCCTTCCCCGACGACGTCCCAGCTAACATTCCTAACACCTGTAGTGTTCTTGTTGCAGCAATGTGTCCAAGTACAACTACAGCTTCTCTGACCTCCCCTTCCCCGACGACGTCCCAGCTAACATTCCTAACACTTGTAGTGTTCTTGTTGCAGCAATGTGTCCAAGTACAACTACAGCTTCTCTGACCTCCCCTTCCCCGACGACGTCCCAGCTAACATTCCTAACACTTGTAGTGTTCTTGTTGCAGCAATGTGTCCAAGTACAACTACAGCTTCTCTGACTTCCCCTTCCCCGACGATGTCCCAGACTACCCCCACAACATCGATATGGCAAAGTACATCGCCGACTACACCACCCATTTCAAGCTGGAAGACAACATCCAGTTTAATACGAAGGTCCTGTCTATGGAAAAGAAAGGTATGACCCAGTGTGTGAGTGAGTGCTTGCGTAATGCCGCAATACTCCAGGGAACTGATACTGGTTGAGGTTGGTGAATACATACTGCGGATGATCTGGTCAAGGTCAAGGTTGCTGGAGCAGATGTCCTTGGATCTCTTGGTCAGTGTGGAGATGATGCCAGACTTAGTTTTAGGGAGGTGGTTAGAGTTGAAGTAAATGTACTGGTCAGAATAGGTAGGCTTTGCGGTTTGGATCTTGTTGCTGGGGTCTTGACCATGACCATGAACTTATACATCTGCGGCATGTTTTCACCAACCTGACCCAGTATCCTACCAAGCTAGTCAAGAGGACCATCTCCAAAACACTCCAGTACCAAAACCCAAGCTGACCAGAACAGGGCCCCGTTCTTCAAAGCGATCTTAGCGGTACGATGATCGTAAACCTATGTTAAAGTATGGGACTTACGATCATCTTAGTGCTAAGATTGCTTTGAGGAACGGGGCCCAGAATCTTAACCCTACATTGGCAAGACTTCACATAAAATAAACAGATTACTTAAGCACCACCACGACATGGCTGAAATATTGAGGATGTGACTTAAAGCATAAACTCACTCACTCACTCACTCACTTAAGCACCAAGTAGGCATTAGCACCATCTTCACTGGCTCCCCATCCCTAGAACCATCCTCCAAAATAATAGGCGTAACCCCACCTCCAACAAGCAACCCCCCAAAGGAGTACTTTAACTGTGACTGTGGGGACCTCTTGTCTAGTAGATACCTGCATTAAAGAACACAAGACTTCAACAGCCAAAACAGACAGCAAATGAGCTCTCTCAGACCACCAACAAAAGTTCTCAAGCCATTGCAGCCAGTTTCAAAATGTCTAAAAATCCTCTTGACCAAGACTTTACCCCAAAAAGAACTCTAGGAAGCTATAGAAATCTGCCGTCGCAAACCTTCGTTCACCAGAGATCAAGGGTATTACATCCTGGCTGCTGCTGAAGATCTAATTAAGCAATAGACGTTTGAATTAGTATCTTATTAGCTTGTTCAACAAGTTAAGTAGTACCCAATCAGCCTGTTTAATTTGTTAATGCTTACTATGCCTCTGGCTTCATTTCCTTGTGCTGGTTGTTATGCCAACTGACCGCCTCCTTGGTCTAGTGGTAGAGCGTCTGCCCGGAGAGCAGAAGGTCCAGGGTTTGATCCCCGCCCGCGTCATACCTAAAGACGTTAAAAGATGGTACTTGTTGTTACCCTGTCTGGCGCTCGGCATTAAGGGGCTAAAACAAGGACTGGTTGGCTCGGAGTCAGTATACTGTGTCTGAGTGGGGTATTCATGTTAAACTGCGGCATGGTATCTCAGTGAGCTAGCACTTTAAATTGGCATCAGTCCGGACTAGTACAAGCAGCCACACGCACACATTGCATGCACGTCACAATATAAGTGCACTTATCTTGGATGTGACATTAAAACCAATTTCACCTCATCTCACCTGTTATTCCAACTGTACATCTGGCTTCGTCCAATCATCTTTGTTCTACCTGTTGTCTATAACCTGTTGTTTCCATGTTATTGTGCTGCTTATCACAACAGGTCATGCCTTGGTTGTAGATACTCAAGCCCTATAACAACATAAGGATTTACATTCTAAGTTAAACAGTTACTCCAGTGATTGATATAATGAGCAATGACCAATGGCTTCGGAACACGATGACGTGTTATCAACCATCAAGTGGCCTCACATGTTACGACCAGCAAATGTTGCTGGGGAGCTGTTCTAACCTGGAATCTAGTTGGAGAACAGAGAAATATAAGACACCATTATGGAACTGAAAAATTATTATCAATTATGATAATGTGAACAGGAAAGTTTTTATTCGAAATACTGTTTTTACAGACTTGTGAAAATATCAATATCTGAAAATAACAGGATATATACATATTGCTGAATACTTACACCCTGGTATTGATACAGCTGTGTCCAAAGTTGGAATATTGCCAAGTGCGGCGTTAAACAACAAACCAGCCAACCAACTCCAGGTTTATATTGAGTTTGAAAATTAACTGTTTCTTTGGTGGATTTATTCCGGCAAAGGATCAAAAGGCCCTCATACCGAATAATTTTCAAAAGGCTCTAAATACCGCCGTGGGGAACTGCGAAAAAATTTAGGATTTTATGAGGAAGGTCTAAGAAAATTATTTCTACGATGAAACTTCGGCGAAGGTTTTTAAGAAAAGTACCGATATGCAATCCCTGCACCGACAATGCTGTGCCAAAGGGGAAAACATAAATATAATCCCGAAAAATACATTGATCATTGAAAGTCAATGTTTACGCTGTAGAAATTACCATTTATTAATATTATATAATGGGCGGTGGGGTAGCCTAGTGGTTAAAGCGTTTGCACGTGACGGTTTCGATTCCCCACATGGGTGCAATGTTTGAAGCCCATTTCTGGTGTCCTCCGCCGTGATATTGCTGGAATGTTGCTAAAAGCGGCATAAAACCATACTCACTCGCTCACTAATATTATATGATAATCTGCCATAGATCTGAGCATACACCAATATCTGCACTATTTTGGGAATCCTTCATAGATCTGAGATTCTGCCACAGATCAGAATCCTACCATTGATCTGAGACATACATGTATATGTATCACTGAGTCTTGCCACGCTTGTAACGAAGCGTTGATGGTGTGTGCAGGTGATGAGTGGGTGGTGGAGACGTGTTCCGTGGAGGAAGATGGTAAGGCCGGCCTGGACACAAACATCAAGACAGTGTTCACGGCACCCTACCTGGCCGTCGCGAGCGGACATCACGCCAAGCCAACATGGGGCCGCTTCAAGGGGGAGGAAACATTCCCAGGTGAGACTTGGATGTTTTATTGCCCAATGCATTTAAAGGGGAGTATGTTTGAGGGCTGGAATACAGTATACCGGATACCTGATACCTTCTCCCATATTCAAAAGGAATTCGCACATCTTTTCTTAGTAACACTTTCTACATTTTATACTGCATTTTTAGCCACCTCGCTAAAATGCCAGGGATTTGGGGGTCTTGCAATCATTGTAAGTAAAAGAATATTTCGAGGTTCATCGCCTTATTATAAAAATATGTGTTTATGATCATGAATCAATATAAAATAGTGATGATACCAGGTGTTCGCGAAAAGAGGAGCCTGTCCTGCCTGTCCTGATGAATCTTTCTGTACTTTATATCTTAATTATTCCTATTTTGTAATAGTGTCGGGCATATTTTCCTGGTACCTGCCATAATACATGCAATACAGGCCCTCGGTAGTTTGAAGAACAGTATAACTTCCTGAGATAATGTCAGCTGTCTGTTGCTGCAGGTGAAAGGATTCACAGTGTGGACTTCAATGATGCTATCAGCAACGGCTACACCGGCAAGCGGGTCCTCATTGTCGGCATCGGCAACAGCGCCGTGGACGCTGCAGTCAACTGTGCCACAGTAGGAAGGTGAGACCTGTTGGATAGCCTCTCTGTAGGGTTTCTTATCACGGTCTGTCCCCAGCACCATATTCTTATCATAAGAGCTGACTAATGGTAGTCTCCATGTATCTGGATTGTTGTACCCCTGACCTGTAAGGGCTGGGGTATATGGATATATCAAGGAAATCTATGACCTATTAACGTGAAAACTCCTGCATTGATTTTTTTCAAGCTTGGTGAACACTGTCTTACTAATAGGAGGGGTGCAGCACAAAGTTTGATGTTAATATTTGGATTTTCTGAAAAAAAATGCAGATATTTTTCACTTTTTTACATAAACATGCGTACGACGTATGACTTGATGCCATTAGTATTTTATATTATTAACCAGCTCAAACGTTAAGGCATCCATATATCTCCAATATCAAAATTGTTCTTCAGCTGATGTTATGGTCGAGGTCAGGGGTATTAGAGAGAACATTCACTCCTTGCCTTATTGCTCATTTTTGTGTTATGAGTGAGTGAGTGAGTTGGGTTTAACGCCGCTTTTAACAGTATTCCAGTTAATGTGGGAGGAAAGCCCGAAGTGATGCAGGTCTTAGACGTTTACCACTTCAGTGAAACCCACGAGCACGGGTATGGTGCTGAAAAACCTAGAAACACAATCGGGGCGAACCGGGATTCGAACCCACAATCATAGGTTTCTGGCGTGCCCAAGGGACGCAACAATGCACAGCGAATCGCTGACCTTAGACGACTGGGCCACCTGTGCCCCCTTTTGTGTTATGAACATTCACTCCTGTTTTGGTGTTCCTCTGTGTTGCAGGTGTAAGTCAGTCTACATCAGCACCCGCTCCGGGTGTTGGGTCATCCCAAACTACATCTTCGGCTTTCCTACAGATCTTTATGCATGCAGAGCTTTTTTCTTGTTGCCATGGAGATGGGCAAATATGGTCCTGGAGACAGTTATTAAACTGGTGTCCGGCAACCCAAAAAAGTAAGTACTTGATGAAAACTGACCGTGCCCTTTTTTTAGTTCTCTGGTTTCAGGGATAAATTGTGGGAACCTGGGATTTTATATGGTATTTTTTCAGCTACAGATGCAAAACCAGTTATTTTTTAATAAGAGCTTTAAGCCTAAATATTTTCTTTAAATAACCCACCTTGCAACAATGTTATTTTTGTGGAAGACAACAGCCTGAAGCAGAATTATATTTTTCAACATTTTCTTGGACAATGTCATTTTATTTATAGAAATCCCCTGCTTCCGGAGAATATGAAATGGTCTGTCCCTTAGGTACATTCAATATTGAATCAGATGTGTTGTGAAAGAAGCATTTTTAATGATTGTTTTCATGTGTCATAGGATCATGTCTTGTGGCATTTTGTAGCTGCTGCAGTATCCATGGAAACACTAAAGACTTACTGATTTCCAGTTTTCTTTCACAATTTCAGTGCATTGTTTCATAAAGAAATACAAGTATGTTTTTCCAGCAAATGTGTCTTTTACCATGAATTCCATGACGCTTATTGGTGAATCAGAGGTTTCAAATCACAATAACCACCTCTGAAACGGCTGATGGCAGTCTGTGCCCAAAACTTGTCGGCCTACAAGCCTTTCTCTTGACATCATATTCAGTAGATCTTTGATTAGCAAAGCTTACTTGACTGAAAGAAATTTTGCTAGACTCGGGCTATGAACTAGTGGCTAAAGTCACGTACTGTGATGGTTGCTGAAGAATATATTTCCAGTCATTGTCAGTAAGTTCCAAATTCCATTTAACCATTTATGTCTTAGGTAGCTAGAACAAGAATACAGTATTTTTATCCCCTAACTGAAAGAAATTCATGCCAATGCTGTCTTCATTGTTAAAGTATGACTGCATTGTAAAACAGTGATGAATCTCTCATCTCGTGTGTATATTCCAGGTGGAACCTAAACCCAAAGATGAGAGCCATGCAGACCCAGCCGACAGTGAGCCCTACCCTTGTCCACCACATACAGAGGAAGGAGATCACTGTCGTGCCAAATATACTGGTAGGAGATGGCTAGCAGACAAGTGTACGCCAGTTAAACTGTTACTTATCACCCAATGTGATACCTACACACCAGGAACATGCTTGTAAGACTTCAGTGTTTAAAGGGGCACTGATCTAACGCAATTCCCCGGGACTGGTTGTTGCCTTTGTTATTGTTTTTTCCCAGTGAATACCCGGATGTATAGCAGAAATCTAGACTAGTTCGCGACCTCAGCTGCGCCATTCGTAAGCGCATTAGTCACTTTTATGGGTAGTAATAAGGGCGTGTGGTCACATTGATCAACAAAATGAAATAGTTTTCGAGATAATAAGGAAATGTAGGTATCTTTGTGAGTAGCATCGGTAATGGTGACAAAGTTTTGATAAGTCACTTGCTTGGTAATTTTGCGATTTTCGTTTACACTATTTTGACTTGCAACACAAAGTATATATTTCACCTGAGCATATGCTTTTTTTATAGTTCGTATATTTTTTTACTGTCAAATGTGTAACAAATTTATTAAACGTCTAAATATTCAGTTATTTTACAAAGTGACTGAAAAACATTTCCATCTGTATTATTATGACAACGAATTCCAAACATTTTGATGTTTAATGTCATCACCAAGAGACTGAAAATGTAACGTTGAAAAGTACATTTCTAAGTTGTTTGGCTTTTAATCCTACATAATAATCTGTTGTGATGTTTGTAGGCCCTTTTGATCGTCTTGATCAATCTGGACAGATGTTTTGGTCAAAATGACTGAAATATTTACACATTTTATAAATTGCCTGAGAGAATCACATTTTACAAATTGACGGTAATATATACACGCTTACAAAGGAAAAGACCTGTGAAAACAACGTCTATCGCGCATTGAAGAATTTCCCAACCAAGACGTAGAGTGACAAGAACGAATCGGTTCAAATGAAGGAAAACAAAATGCAGATATCATAATTACAACCTACCAAATTTATGTGTATAAGTTTTAGGCAGCTTCCTTGTTCGAGGAATGTATCCGTGAATATCCACACAAAGGAACAATATCCCACTCGTCTGCAGCTGTACAAAGAAAGTTATTCGATGTCACGTGTCTCAGTAACAATCAAATATTTTAAAAGATATATATCGTTTCGGGATATTATAACCCGTGTTCATTTTTCAACTGATCGCTTGGATTGTTTCAGGTGTTTTACATAGGTGTCAAGTCTCAATGGTCGGCTGAGAAAGCCCACGTGACAACTATTTTCATAGCGTCCACGGTTCCTAAAAATTCCATTGAGTGATAGATAACAATGATCAATCAATCAACGTATTATCAGTTAACCCTTTGAACAAAGTATGTTGTTTTTACATCCCCATTTTTTCGCCATGATATGAGTGTATTCCCTTTGTTTTAGTAAACCTAGACATGTAAACACTCACTCTTGACATATCCACTGTGCAAGATAACAGTGATTAATCAATCGACGTATTTTCTGTTAATCCTTTGATGACTAGGAACGATCCGTTGATTTACAAAAAAAGTAAATCAACTGATCATTCATCTCTTGCTGGGCTGCCACGTGCATATTACATAACACACATTTCACCTCACTTCAAACCTGGATTTAGATTGAATAATTACCCCAGACACAATAAATGCCAAATGGGAACCTTTGTCAGGTAATATAAGTGGTGCTACCACTAATTGTACCTGTAATAAATTCATTAACTGAGCATCAAGTGAATGACGACAAATACACAAGTGTAGGGTTATACGAGAAAACGTGGATGACAACAAGGGAGTAGTAATCGTATTATCGACGCAAGCCGAAATCCGAAAATGCTTTCACTGCATGGATACTGTTTTTAGTATTAAACTATAACCATCTGGGGTATTTCCAAATGACGACATCCGATGAGCTCCCTTGTTCTTTTTGTCTGTTTGTTTAGGCTGAAGAAATGAATTAACATGCGCCCTTTGTCGAAATCTTTATAGATCACAGTTAACCAATCAGTGTTCAAAAATGCGTAAAACAAATATTGCCTCCAGCCTCCAAGTTTATTTAGCTGTCCTTGCAGACGGTACCCCAGTCTCTGGTCACGCTCAGTTGCGTTGCGTATCATCCGGGTACTCACGGGGGAAAAACAATAACAAAGGCAACAACCAGTCCGTTAGATCAGTGCCCCTTTAATGGCAGACATTACAGAGAAGGGGGTGGGGCAAGGGAGTTAACTCCGGTAACTTGTCATTATGACAACCACAAACAATAATGTTGGCATGACCACTTTTTCTCCTTCTCTATAGGAGGATAATGAGATTAAACCAGAGGTTGGACAATCATTGACATTTATAATAGTGAAAATTGCAAAATAACTGCCTGTTTTATAAAGTCCAGGATATTTGAAATTATGAAATACTTAGTCATTAAGTATTGAAAACTGGTAGGAGACGGCTGGCAGACAAGTGTAGTCCTTTAAAGTACCTGGGTTAGAATTCCAATATGTGAATTGTCCCTTGATGCTAATCTTTTTTTTGTTTTGTTTTGTTTTGTTTTGTTTTGTTTTTGTTTTTGTAGTATATTCTCCTCATAGTTGTTTACATCTTGTGTGATACAGTTTCCCGCAATATACAAGTACACATTATCTCGTTACGTCATATGATGACGTCATGTATGGATGTGATCTCTGAGTAAACTATGATGGCTTCCTTCCATGTTCTGTTGTGTTTGGCGTGCATACTCCCGAGCATAAATGTGTGAATACATGACAGTTTTGTTTTGTTTGTTGTTTAATGCCACACTCAGCAATATTCCAGGTATATGACAGCGGTCTGTAACTAATGGAGTCTGGACCAGACAATCCAGTGATTGACATCATGAGCATCAATCTACGCAATTGACATACAATGACATGCATTAGTTACAGACTGACGTCATATAGCTGGAATATTTGTGAATGCGGCATTAAACAACTAACAAACAAACCAAGATTATTTTGGGGCAGTTGTCACATAGCTGCACTTTTACTAAAAATGGTGTTAAAAAACAAACAAAACTCTATCATGTTGTCACTGATAGCTTGTGCTGATACCCTGTGCTGGTTGAAGTAGGCAACATGGATCTGGTGGTCAGGCTCGGTGACTTTGTTGATGGCATGAATCGTTTCTCACAGTATCATTCACAGCATTGTCTGGTCTAGACCTGATTATTTACAGGCCACTGTCATATAGCTGCAACATTGCTAAATGCGGTGTTACACAACGAACATACAAACAGAAAATTAAGTTTTACCAGAGAGTAACATTTCAAAAGTTTTGTTGCAGTAACAAATATCTGTCATTTTCATATTTCTAAATTCACATTTCAGAGAATCGAAGGTGAGAAGGTGTATTTTGTGAATGGGGAGTCTGCCGAGTTTGACAAGATCCTGTACTGCACGGGCTACAGCATCGACCTGCTGTACCTCCCGGACAGTGTGAAGGACAAGGTCGTCGTTGACAACAGCAACGAATTGAAGGTAAAGTCGTTGCTGCTGCAGGGTTTACATAGCCGTAGCCTTGCAAAACAAACGGTTTACAACTTGCTTACGCTAGGTTCAAGATAAGGCTAAGAATAATAATTGTCTTGGTTCTCAGGCACCATCCGCATCATCATAAAGTCTGCCACGTTTCATTTATATTTCCATTTTCAATTTAAAAAAATGTTCACCACATTATTTGTCGGGAGTCGTTTTCTAAATTTCGAGGTCATGATTTAGCAAGAATCGAGACAATTATGAAGTTGTCAAAATTGTGAGGGGAACGTTTTCCTATTCAGGTTTATACCAACTTACAGATGAAAGATTGCATGCAATATCGCAATACATGAACCTTAAATTGCAACACAAAAGTTAAGCCAGTACCCACAGCAGCTTTATAAAGTTTGAATACATTTGTCGTTGTTACCAGAATCCTGTCTCTCCCTTCATGTAAACAAGTTACTCATTAATTTGATATGTTTGAGTAACCATACTTTCGCCCGTTTCAGTTGTTCAAGAACGTGTTCAGCCCCGATATCGGCAAGTCCCTGGCTTTCATCGGCTTTGTCCAGCCGGCTTCTGGTGGGGTGCTGACGATGTCCGAGACACAAGCTCGCTGGTTCTCCGAGGTGATCAAGGGGAGGGTCAAGCTGCCCTCCAACTTTCAGATGGAGCAAGACATCACCAGAGAAAAGGTTTGGAAAGTTCTTGAGTGAGAGAGTTGGGTTTAACGCTGCTTTTAACAGTATTCTAGGAAAGACCGAAGTGATGCAGGTTTCAGACGTTTATTACTTCGATGAAACCCAGGAGCATGGGTATGGTGCTAGAAACATAATCGGGGTGAACCGGGATTCAAACCCACAATCATAGGTTTCTTGTGTGCCCATGGGACGCAACTCAAGGCGTCTTAGACGACTGGGCCACCCGTGCCCCCTGAAAGTTCTTGAGAACTCAGAAGAGATATATGTCTGACTGGGATAACTCCATGCCCATGGTAGATCTCTGACTTCTGTCATGGTCTGTGTTTCAGAGGATATATTCTGAGAGATGGTACAAGACGGCGCGACACACCATCCAGAAGGACCCTATACTCTACAACGATGAGGTGGCCTCCTTCTTTGGGGCCAAGCCAGAAATATGGAGGCACCCCCTCCTTGCATGGAGGTTAGTAGTGAGTGAGTGAGTGAGTGAGATTAGTGGTTGAGTGAGTGAGAGTGGTGGGTGAGTGAGTGAGTGAGAGCGGTTGAGTGAGATTAGTGGTTGAGTGAGTGAGAGTGGTGGGTGAGTGAGTGAATGAGAGCGGTTGAGTGAGATTAGTGGTTGAGTGAGTGAGAGTGGTGGGTGAGTGAGTGAGTGAGAGCGGTTGAGTGAGATTAGTGGTTGAGTGAGTGAGTTAGTGAGTGAGTGAGTGGGAGTGGTGGGTGAGTGAGTGCTTGAGTGAGTGAGTGGGAGTGGTGGGTGAGTGAGTGAGTGAGTGAGAGTGGTGGGTGAGTGAGTGAGTGAGAGCGGTTGAGTGAGATTAGTGGTTGAGTGAGTGAGAGTGGTGGGTGAGTGAGTGAGTGAGAGCGGTTGAGTGAGATTAGTGGTTGAGTGAGTGAGAGTGGTGGGTGAGTGAGTGAGTGAGAGCGGTTGAGTGAGATTAGTGGTTGAGTGAGTGAGAGTGGTGGGTGAGTGGGTGAGTGAGAGCGGTTGAGTGAGATTAGTGGTTGAGTGAGTGAGTTAGTGAGTGAGTGAGTGGGAGTGCTGGGTGAGTGAGTGCTTGAGTGAGTGAGTGGGAGTGGTGGGTGAGTGAGTGAGTGAGTGAGAGTGGTGGGTGATTGAGTGAGAGTGGTGGGTGAGTGGGAGAGAGTGGTGGGCGAGTGAGTGGGAGTGGTGGGTGAGTGGGAGTGGTGGGTGAGTGAATGAGTGAGTGGAAGTGGCGAGTGAGTGAGTGAGTGAGTGGGAGTGGTGGGTGAGTGAATGAGTGAGTGAAAGTGGTGAATGAGTGAGTGAGTGACGTTTCCCATTTTGGTGAAACCCACAAGCATGGGTGTGGTACTGACAAACCTAGAAACATAATCGGGGTGAACCGGGATTCGAATCCACAATCATAGGTTTCTGCGAATTGCGGTACCTTAGTGTAAATAATGAGTGAGTGAGATTGGTGGTTGGCTAGGGTGCGTAGTGTCCAAATTAGCAAGTGAGTGAGTGCACTCTGCCTTGTGGAGTCCAACCTTCAGCATGATAACGGCAATGGGGTAGCCTAGTGGTTAAAGCATTCACTTGTCATGGTGAAGACCTGGGTTCGATTCCCCACATTCGTACAATGTGTGAGGCCCATTTCTGGTATTCCCCGCCATGATATTGCTGGAATAAAGCCACACTCACTCACTCGTGAAAACCCAGGGTAGAATAGGTCTTCAGGAACCCATGCTTGCCATAAAAGGCGGCTATGCTTGTCACAAGAGGCAACTAACGGGATCGGGTGGTGAGGCTCGCTGACTTGGTTGATCCATGTCATCGTATCCCAATTGTGTGGATTGATGCTCATAATGTCAATCACTGGATTGTCTGGTCCAGAGTCGATTATTGGCAGACGGCCATCATATAGCTGGAACATTGCTGAGTGCAGCGTTAATCAACAAACACTGACCCAGTATGATAAGGCTTTAATTACAGCCCCCAGATAAGTGGAAGAGATGGAAGATCATTTGATGAGATATGCATTACCTGAGGACGAAAGACAAATATCCTCTCGTTATTTATGTAACCATGGTAACAGTGTCTCCTCGTCTTTGTAGGTTGTTGTTCAGTTCATGCGGCGCCTCCCAGTGGCGTCTTCAGGGTCCCCACGCGTGGAGCGGGGCAGAGGAGTTGGTGCGGAAGACGCCCATGACCGACATGATGAACTTCACAGGCTTCGTCCTTGTGGTAGTCGTCGGTGTCTTCATGTTGATGGCTCTCTGCTGCATGTGTAAAGTCACCGCCTGCCTCTTCTGAACAAACTCTGTTATAAATGTTGTATCAGTCAGGGTATAAATTGAAACCTTGTTAACTCAAAGTCACAAGGTCATCGTTGTCTGTGCCTGAATGTTTAAGTGTACGAGCAAGAACTTTAGTCTTTATCAGCAGGTATTGCCCTTAACATATACAGTATTATTAGCTGGGCTTATTGTTTACCACCCAGAATTGACGTTTCTGTTATTTCTAGCAAAGTTTAGCCAAAGGCTATTATTAGCTTAACTAATAGTCTACCACCCACAATTGACTTTTCTGTCATTTTTAGCCTTAACATGTAGACTATTATTAGCAGAGCTATTTGTCTTCAATCAAGACGTTTTTTTGTAATTATTAGCAAAGTTTGGCCTTAACATGGGACTATTATTAGCTGAGCAGATTAAACATCCTACTTGAGTCATGTTTCTAACAAGTGGCTGAGGTCATTGACTGCTGTTGAATGTGTGTTGAGAGAGCCATCACTGAACCAAGCGGAATAGTGATGTTATTCCATATGGTGCAGATACAAAATACTGCCGTAATCCTCATGTTACTTTGTGGTACAAATGATGAAGAGAAGATAGTGTTCACCACTCTTTATTGGCTGAGTCCTTCGTAACATTAAATATGTTCCGTGCTCAGCCGCTAACTCTCTGCAACACAGAAATTCTCACACATTTGACCATCGCGGGTCACTCAAGCTCATCGCAGGAGCTCTCAAAACACAACAGGGAGTCATCATTATTTTGGAAACCAATACATATACCAAAACGGCTTGATCAAACCGGCAAACTAAAATATGTCTTTCGTGGCATAAATGAAATTAAATATTAGTTATTTTACATTCAAATGTCATTTCAACCACTTTGTTATCATATATTGAGGTAGCGGAGATTGAAGTAAGAAGGTTTCTCTTAATTCAGTGAAGGAGTATTGTCTGCCAATATATTGCCAGATATTGCCTACTGAGTTACACAGTGTGAATCAGGATACATGGGCATTGGGGTACGTATCAAAATACGCTCAATGCTATGATTTATTGATTTTATTTATTGAACCTGGGAATTAGAAGTCCTGGGCCAGTACCACTTGGCCAATACCACAAATGTATTTTACAATATTATATATATAAATGTGACTCCTTAGGCTAAAAAAAAAAATTGTCTTGGTTCTCAGGCCCTGCCCACATTATCATAAAGTTTATTGCACATTTCGTTTTTGTTTCCATTTTTTTTTTTTTTTGTGCATTGTGTTTAAGTATTAGGATTTTTATAATTTTTTGAAAATGGAAATAAAAACAAAATGTGCGGCAAAACTATTCTGTCTCGAACATGTATGTACCATATTCGACATAATAAGAGCCCAGGGCACTCTCAAAATTAGAAATAGGGGTCTCTTATTAGACTATTATTTTCATGGGAGACACAGAGATAAATTTCGTGGTTTATGCTGACAGCCTGAAATGTTTATAAAGAATTTAATTGCCCACAATTAAGGGTGCATATTACCCAAGAGTGTGAATTATATGCGAATAAATAAGTCTTTTGTACATTGATCAATCGGAAGGGGTGCTCTTTGGGATTGTTCACTAGCCAATATATTAGCAAATATCACCGTGGGCACTTATTAGAGAGGGGCGCTTATTACGTCGAATACGGTATAACTACTCGTGTGTCCTGGACGTTGTTGAATCATTACACTTCTGGTCAGGTGTGTGTCTTCTGAAATGAAGTTGCTGTGCATGAGCAGCTGGGAAACTGTTTATTGTCAGGATATTTCATGTGGATGGGTCATTATGACTCCTTTAACAATGTTGTGATGTTATTGTCATCTCTGCCAGATCCTAAGCTCCCCACAGCGCTAGCCCGTTCATGGAGCTCCCTATACTATTGCTGGCACCTGTCAAAACTCCGCACTGTGATCGGTGGCCACAACCATGCTTGGAGTTGAACTCGCAACCCACTGACCGTTATGTTTACAAACAAGTGATGACTGACGTGGCACCGAATGAATACTCTTACTCCTGCTTAATTATTTTCTTTATTTGGCAATTTGAGTTTCTGTTTCATTACAACTATCTTGTAATTGATGTGGTAAGAATGTAAGCGGGAAGTTGGTTGATTTTCCGTTTGTCGTCAATCTTGAACCAATATGATCAAACAAACAAACAGTTAAAATCATGTGGGAAATGTGGTCAGTCATAAAACTTTTAAAAAATAACTACGATGGCATTCCGGAAAGACATAAACAAAAGTATAAAAGTTACTAAATTTGGGGTTAGAGGGCAAATTTCAAGATTCTTGTAATGGTTGCGTCCACACTGGTGGCAACGATGTTACCGAGAGTGTAACGAAGGTGTCCAAGGCCGTAGTTAACTTTTTTTGACAGGAGGATATTTGTACAAGTATCACTTGTCCCCAAATTGTATTTTCATGATTCAAATAAACTGTTTTACCTGCCTCTCCGGCTGGCTACGGCACTGGTGTCACGCACTGGGAAGGAGCTTGTGCCAGCTCCATGGTAAGGGAGGTAGCTCTAATTATAGTTTGCCATGAGACTGTGGAGATGTTCCAAATGGATGCCCGCTAGTGTTTCTAAACATGACAGTTTGAATGATAGCCAGTGGTTCTCAGGGTGTTGTATTATTTGTTTATTTTGTGATGTTTGAACTAGTTAAAGTGTTCTGCGATCGGACCATCAACAAATGAATTGTTACACCATATGAAGGATTGCTGTCATTGTCTCAGACTGTAATCAAGTTACATGTTTTATACATTGATACAAGACATTGTCGGGAATAACCCAACCATTCTTTTCTGGATTTCCAGATTTTCTTGATCAAATGCAACTATTGTATTCGCAGTAATGAACTGTAAACAAGATTTGGTTCCTGGCATGTTGTATGTTTGTTTTGGTTTAACACCTCACTCAGCAATATTCCAGCTATATGACAGTGGTCTGTAAATAATTAAGTCTAGACCAGATAATCAAGTGATTAACATCATGAGCATTGATCTACGCAATTGGAGCACGATGACATGCATCAACCAAGTCAGCGAGCCTGACCACCCAATCCCATTAGTCGCCTCTTACGACAAGCAAAGTCGCCATTTATGGCAAGTGTGGGTAGCTGAAGACCTAATCTACCCTGGATCTTCACTGGTCTCCAGGCATGTAAAAATGCCTTTGGAATTGAACTTGCCTAGAAATATCAATGTACGGATTATACTCTCAGTCATTTGGGGTTTGAGAATAAATGTATTTGTACATTGTAAAAACATGTGACACTAGCCACATAAATCTTGACCTGTGAGATCAGCAAGACTGTCATGAATACATTGAAAATTGGAGCATATTACACCGATGAAGATTTTATTGGTAATGTTTCCAAATTATATATTGAAAAATATTGGTCCAAAGTTCATCTTTTATTATTCACACCAACCAGACTTAATCAAGTTCTATTTTTGTTTGTTACACAATAATATTGATGGGATTGTTGCAGTTTCTTGTAGAAAACACTGGTCTTACAACATATGGAATATAGAACACAGTTATAGGCCGTGTCATACAGCATGTCAGTCAATACCAGCAACAGAGGTATCTATGGGTTAATAAGCATTAGTCTTTTGCAAATGTCTTTGTTGAGTACATGTTTCATGTAAAATTGGCAGAATTCCAAAGGGTTGGTGCTGTACTTGGTATTTTGTGTTTTTTGGTAAAAGGTATAGTTTTTGTTCCACTATTTATTGGGCTCCCCATGACTAAGTATACTGATATACAATGAAAACGCATTATCAGCTTTGACTCGAAGGACAGGAAGACGATTTTAACTGTAAATAGTTACTTACTTGACTGAGAATGATGACTGTGACAAATTGACGTTGTTGAGTTTGATTATCTCATGCCTAAACTTAATTTGATTTTTATGGCCAGTTTGTCAAATATTACAAAATGTCAAATATGCATTTTCAAAACGTTTCAGTATATTTTTAGTATGTTTTATCGTTTAAACAAATATATTTTGACATGTTTTTACCACTGACACATGTTTCACATCCAGGTTGCGGGTAACCTACCCAAATACTTAATGTGTTATCTGGCTTTTATGATACTATTAGGTGGAAAACACATTCTATAATCACACCTGCTATTGGATAGTTTAGGTCACTGTGCGTCCCCTGTATTCGTGTTTAACACCGTTAAATTTTTTGTCAAGGAAATTATTTAAAGGGAGCTTGTTTTGTCAAATGTTTTCTTTAATTCTAATGTGATTTTCATAAATGTTCTAGTCATTGTAGAGGTAATTTATCATTTACTCTTTCAATTTTCATTTATTATTTACAGCATAATATTATTGACTATGACAGATTATTGCATAGACTTTATAAGGGAGGTGACTCTGTGCAGGTAGAATTTGGGAGACATTTTACAGTCAATGAGCCAAAGAATAAAACATCAGCTTCAACATCATTGTTGTTTTATGTGTTTTATTTGTCTTGCCAAAGGGACTGGTCATTTATTACAGAGGGTCAGATGTTTTTTATCCACAGAAAATGGTGAACCTCCCCTAATGCTCAAGACCGCCACCATGGTCTTGTGGTAGAGTGTCCGCCCGGAGAACGGAAGGTCCGGGGTTCAATCCCCGGGCGTGTCATACAAAAAGACCTTTAAAGATGGTACTTGTTGTTTCCCTGTCTGGCGCTTGGCATTAAGGGGCTAAACATCTGGTGTAGAATAGGTCTTCAGCAACCCATGTTTGGCGTAAAAGGCAACTATGCTTGTCGTAAGGGGCGACTAACGGGATCGGGTGGTGAGGCTCGCTGACTTGGTTGATGCATGTCATCGTATCCCAATTGTGTGGATCGATGCTCATGATGTCAATCACTGGATTGTCTGGTCCAGACTCGATTATTTACAGACCGCTGTCATATAGCTGGAATATTTCTGAGTGCAGCGTTAAACAACAAACAAACTAAAACGACTGGTTGGCTCGGAGTCAGTATACTGTGTCTGAGTGGGGTATTCATGTTAAACTGCGGCATGGTATCTAAGTGTGCTGGCACTATAAATCAGCACCAGTCCGGACTAGTACAAGCAGCCACGCACACATGCATGCACGTCGCTACATAAAGTGCAATAATCTTGGACGCGACGTTAAATGCCAGTTCACCCCACCATCACCTAATACTCATCATATTTCGGAAGACCATGCCCATGCATGGGCGGATACAGAGAGAGGGTGTGTGTGTGTGTGTGGGTGTGTGTGTGTGTGTGTGTGTGCGCACCCCCCTTTTTATTTCGAAAAAAATCTTTATTTCTGTATAAATTACCACCAAAGACAATAAATAGATCTTAGTTGTTCATCCCCCCTTTTCAAAAAAGCTGTATCCACCTCTGCCATGGCCTTGTACATTTGTTTCATTACCCTCCCCAAAAGACAAAATGCAAAAGCATTTTATATTGTATTATAAAATGTTCACTTTTCATGACCCTCACCAAATATGTGTATTGTTTTATAACCCTCCCCAAGAGACTGTCATATCTTTTGGTGATCTTCCACTGATTTCCTTTGACCATATAATAAATGACCGACCACTAATATATAAACGACTTGAATTTTGTTGGTCAATGATCTTTTGATAAATTTCTGCGTACAACTGGAAAAGCCTGATCTCGTTTACATCGCTGCAAACATATTCATGTTCAGACAGACTGCAAACGTGGTCTAGTGGTAGAGTGTCCGTCCAGAGAGCGGAAGGTCCGGGGTTCGATCCCCGTCCGCATCATACCAAAAGACGTTAAAAGATAATCTGACCATTTTCCCAACCCGTCTTACATGATCGAAATACAGCACGTATGTTTTGAAGCATTTCAAATACTATTTTTTATGAATACCATCATCATGGTATAATTGAAGCAGCTCATTTGGCTTAAGTATCTGGATATTAACCATCTTAGAAGCTTTTGGGTGGACGTCGGGTACTTGAAAGGTTACTATATAAATAAATAAATAGGCATGTACAATAAAGTTTATGTGTGTTAAATGATCTAGAGACATTATCTTCAGTGTATAACTGTCATGGTTTTGGGAGAATTACAAAGCACGGTGTCATGATTTATATCTTTGAATACAGAATGCTGTTAAAGCACATAATGGAAATTGGAGTATGTTGCTAGATAAACATAAGCACGTTGTTAGCATTGTTTTTGAAAGATGCCCACTGTTTCATGTCAGGATATTCTGATCTTTACTTTTTAGTGCCTTTCAGGGGTATAGTATTCATCAAGTGCTGACTCAAGTACAGAAATGTTATTTGGCCTGTGTTGATGTCAATGTTTCAATTTCCTTTTGTTTTCCATGCTGTGTACATTGACAATTTTTAACATGCATGACTCTCTCCTTAAGCACTTGGGCATGTACATTTCAAAAGGAAAGAGAAACAATTAAATGCTCTGATAATATGAAATACAACATGACATATATATCTCGCAGATCAATATCAT